CGGTATTGATACTTATTGTAGGATACATTCTCGTTTACCTTAATCGGCCTTTCAAAACGGTTTATTTCGAATGATACAATAACAAACAAATTAATTATTTGCCAAAAAATACATGTCAAATTAACTGTCTATAACCAGTATTTCTGTGTACGATGTGAACCTTGTTTCGTACACCATGATCTCAATCTTAACTTTCCCCCTTGTTGCAGAGCTGTGCCAGAACATATATAAAAATCTGGTAGCTAGTGTGCAGCATCTGTTAAAATTTCATGTAAATTAATATTATTTTGTCACACACAACATATATGTCACATGGGACCCATATCGAACATGACAAGATGTGAAAGTCGTGCACTTTAGGGGTTGTTGATCATTAACGCTGATGAATGGAAAATTGTAAATCTTCGTATCAGTGCTGCTCTTTCTCCCACCAAAAAACAAAAAAAGACAAACTTAAAGTGTTTTAATAATGCAAAATTTGAAAAGTATAAACCCCTATACAAGTTCAGTTCACTATACAATATTAAATTTTACTCCTCCCCACCTAAATCAGACAACTTGTTTCCCATCATGCATCATGTTTTAGTGATCAAGGACTCATTAATAAAGATGACTATGGCTAAAACCGAAGTTCCTGAAATATCAGTTTACCAGAAATGACCTTGATCCTCTTCTGTATTTACTCTTTCTTAGATTTCCAGCGTCTCCTTGACAGAGATTTCAAACTCCAACTCGATTGTTACTGCTAAAGACACCACGCTAAAAAGCTGGCTGACCAGTCAGGGTCTACCAATGTACACAGAGCCTCTATTGGGTAAAGGCTGGAGCACCGTTGTTAGTTTATGCGATATGTTGGAAGACGATATGAGAGAGTGTGGTATGAACGATCCAAGGCATATACGTAGATTACTTGCAGCCATCGAGACGTTGAAACTGCAACAAATCTCTCAATGACTCGTATGGGACTGTCTGACACTGTCATCCATTCACATCACTGTCGGATGAGACAATAAATTGAAGAGTACATGTACTTGTGCCTCCATGCCGATTTTTTACCTACCGTAACGATTTTTTGACCAATTCTGATTCAGTGTTTTCTGATTCATGAGCCATGCATGTCAGTTTCATCCCAGTCAATGGGGAAGCACAGTTCATGCGGCCGTGAAAAAAAAAAAGGAGCATCGCTTCAGTCATGATAGAATGAGTGATAAAAGAACGCCGTCCCAAATAAAGAATCAACCACCTGTTTATGACATGCTGTCATTTGTTTTCGTACGACTTTAAAGCGGGAGGGTCGTCTCCTGCGTATGCACAGGAATTGAGTTCCCAAGCGACGATAACAACGCACGCTAAAAATGCAATGGCTCATGGGTAGATGCTTGTTTGTAAAC